AATCCTCGATAATATTGTAGCGGTGCTTAGGCGAAGCCCTGCGACGGTAGTACATCAAGATTGTCACCACGCCATCGTGCTGACGGAACTCTTCCCCGACACTTTGCTGGATCGGAGTCTGGGGATCGTCATCGAGTTGAATGTGTGCTAGAACTCGGAGGTGCCGTAGTTTCGGTGCTTGATCTGTTGGGCCGTGAAGACGTACGACTACATCAACCGCGTTGTGCTAACGCTTCTGCTGAGGGTCTACAAGGGTACGTAGATCACACTCTTCCCTCGTTGCTATGCATCACCATGATCTTGCGTGTGCGTAGGATTTTTTTTGAAATTACTACGTTCCCCAACACAGACCATTTGCGCTCGGCTATATTCGGTATCGCATGTGGCATTCTGGGCTCATACGTGATGTACGACTTTCCTCTATTGGGATCAGATGAAAGATCTGTTTTAATACCAATGAGAGAGTCCATGTAGCTCACCAAAAACCTTTTAGAAGCTTCCATAGGCGGAGGAGGTTTATGATGCACGATCTCATTCCGAATATGCCAGGCTCTCCAAAACGTCATGAGGACCATGGATCTTTCCACTTCCTGTAGTGGTTCTAGCATATGCAAAAGCCATTCATCACCATTATTTAGTACTGTTGCTAGGCACGACAGCGGCCAAACTTTAGACATCGTGTCCCAGAGGCCTCTTGACAGTGTACAATGACACAACGCATGATGGCAGTCTTCCGGTTCTGAAGCACAAACATGGCACAAGGCATGCACTTCCAGTCCTCTCCTATTTTTGTTTCTCCATGTTGGCAGCGAGTTAGTAGCTACCCACCATGCAAAGTTCTTGACCGTGGGGGGAACATCAGAGGACCAAATTAGTTTCCAGCAGCTGCGACGCCCATCCGGATGAGCACTAGATCCCGTAGCGAAGCTCCTGTGAGCCTCTTCAAAACCAAACTCATATGCACTTCTGACCGAAAAAACTCCGTATTTACCGGGATCCCAAGCAAGTGTGTCATCCTCCTGACGGGGGGAAGCCCGAATCTTCAAAATTTCGACCACATCAGCTGGAAGGAATAATTCCTATAGCACAGCAGCATTCCATGACCTATTATTATTAGCAAATCTGAGACAAATCGTATCCTACATCTCCCCTGCAGAGTAATGGGTTTGTAGGAGAAGGGTCTCGGGATCCAGTTATCACGCCACACGCGGATACTTCTGCCATTCCCCACTCTCCAAATTAAGCCCTTCTTCAAGAGGTCAAGGCCATAGCTAATAGCTTGCCACGAAGATGAAGCATTGCCAGAGAAAACAATATCTGAATATTGCCATTCGGGTAATATCTTGCTTTTAACACTTGCGCACAGAGACTGTCAGGTTTATAAATTAGTCTTCATGATTGCCTCGCTAGTAAGGCTTGGTTGAATATTCTAAAATCTCTGAACCCCGCACCTCCTTTACTTTTTGGTTGCACCAAGTCATCCCAAGCGCGCCAATGCACCTTCCTTTTACCTTTTTCAGCACCCTAATAAAACACTCTTACCATTCTTGTAAGTTCATCACATACAGAGAAAGGAAGTTTGAACACACCCATAAGATAGGTTGGTAAGGCCTGAGCAACAGATTTAATAAGAGTTTCCCTCCCAGGTTGGGCAAGATGCCCATCTCCCCACTGGATCAACCTCTTCGTTAGACTCATCTGTAGGTTCTGAAATTTCTCCTTTGACATGCGACCATCAGGGGTAGGAAGACCAAGATACTTCTCCTCAAAGACCAAAGTAGTAAAATTTAGTGCCCCCCTAACTTCCTCCTGGATATTAACTGGACAAGCCAAACCAAAGAGGATAGAGCACTTATCAAAATTTAGAGATTGTCCAGTTGCACTTCCATATTGATCCAGGGCCAATCTGACTTTTTCAGCCTGTGCTCGGTTTGCCTCAAAAAACAACATAGTATCATCCGCAAACAAAAGGTGTGATATGCCCGGGGCTCGTCTGCATACCTTAATCGAAGATAACTCACCCGAAGATACATAATGCTTCATAATAGCCGAGAGTCCGTCCGCCACAAAAAGGAATAAGAATGGTTATAGAGGATCGCCCTGCCGAAGACCACGCGTCAGTGCAAATGAATCCAAGAGGGTCCCATTGAGTTTGACAGAATACCTCACTGATGTGACACAAGACATTATCCAGTCTACCCATCGTTGAGCGAAACCCAGCTTTTGCATCACCTGTTTTAGGAACTTCCAATCCACCCTATCATATGCCTTCGAAAGGTCAAGCTTATAAGCACAGAAACTCTTTGCTGGATCCTTCTCTTGCTTAATATGATGAATACACTCGAAGGACACTAGCGCATTATCTGTGATCATATGCCCTGGAATAAAGGCACTCTGCTCTAGAGAGACTATATCATCAAGTAATGGTCTCAAGCGGTTCACCAAGCATTTGGAAATGATCTTATAAATGACATTGCATAGACTTATAGGCCAGTATTGGGATAAATTAGATGGATTAGGAATTTTGGGAATAAGAACAATGGAAGTAGAGTTTACCCCTTCCGGCATTACGCCGGTAGCAAAAAATTCCTTGACTGCTGTGATTACACTAGTTTTTAGCAATCCCAGTTCTGTTGTAAAAACCTTGCCGGTAGACCATCCGGGCCAGGGGCCTTCAATGGCCCAATCTGAAAAGGTGCATCAGATATTTCCTTGTCACCAAAGGGGGCAGACAACCTCTCATTATCCTGGGTTGAAACTTTAACCTCCAGCAAATCAAGCACCCAAGACGCATTCAAGCTCGGATCAGCAGTAAAAATCCCTTTGAAATAATCATTTGTCAGGGCGGCCATATCCTCAAAATTTGAATGAATCACACCAATAGTGTCGGTGAGTTCTCGAATTCTATTTTTGCGAGCTCGCCAAACTGCTTTACTCTAAAAGTACTTGGTGTTACGGTCGCCTTCTTTCAGCCACATAATTGTAGAACGTTGCAGCCACATCATTTCCTCCTGATAAATTAGTTCGTTCATCTTATCAGTAATATTTCTTATATCTTGCCTATCGGCATTCATACTCATCAGTTCTTCTAATTGAGTCCGTGACTTGGCCAACTCCCGGGATATATTCCCAAACTTGTTATTACCCCATACACTTAGCGTAGCTAGGGTCTTGCTCAGGCCTGTTTGAAGTTTTTCCAGGTTGTCTACACTGCCCACGGACTCCCAAGCTTCCTTAATCACCTCCGGTAGCGAGATGTCCCTTTCCCAGAAAATTTCATAACGCCTGGCCTTGGGACCCTGCTGACCCGAGTCCGGGGTCCCTTTAAGTACCAGTGCCACATGGTCAGAGCAGGGCGAAACTACATGCTGTACAGAGTAGAACGGGAAAAGATTGCACTAGTCATTTGTAGCTGTAGCTCTATCCAGCCGCACTTTCACATTGGCTGCTCCCGCTCGCAGATTGTCATAAGTAAACGATATGCCAGAAAAACCAAGATCAATCAGGCCACAAATCTCTAGAGTATCTCTGAATGCAATCATTTGTGGTTCAGGTCTTGGTGTAGCAGACATGTGTTCAAAATCCCAAAGAGCTTCATTGAAGTCACCAATCACTAACCATGGACATTCACTTGTATTTGATAGAGCTTGCAATTTGGACCACATTAGATGCCGGTTCTCGACGCGAGGTTCACCGTACACAAAGGTAACCCTCCACTGTGTTGCATCAACGTTCTCCCTGACCAGAGCATCAATGTAACGGTCATTTTTGTCCATGATCTCCACCAAATAGGACTCATGCCAGAAGAGAGCTAGTCCCCCACTCATCCCAGAACTATCAACACCATCAAAACCTTTTAAGCCAATACGAGATTGTATCCTTCTCATTTTTGAAGCTTTTTGTCTAGTCTCACAGAGAAAGACTAGCATGGGGGAATGCGACTGAGAGATCGTCGCAATTTCACGAACTGTCCGGGAGTTCCCCGCCCCCCGGCAGTTCCAACTGATGAGATTCATTGCTCCCGGCGGTGCCCCTCGAAAGAGCCCGCTGATGTAGACACATTCTTTGATTTGTTCAGACCAATAAGAACAGCATTAGCACCTATTCTAACTCTTTTTGGGTCTTGCTTGTCAAATGGGCTTGGCGGTATGACACCTCCACCCGAGCTAGCTGGAGCAATAATAGATACCGCCGGTGGAGCTTGGTTATCGTTAGCATCCCTTTTCCTACTAGGATCGCCTTCAACAGTAGTGCCCATCTCGCCTTGCTTGTTATCCACCTCCATGGCTGATTGAACCACATTACCAAAGCCTCCTCCTGAGGCAGCAGGGGAAATACCATCCTGAATCATGGAGCCTCTTCCACCACCACGTCCACTCCAGGAAGCTCGCAAATCCTTAAACACCAGTTTAGAGGCAGCATGGACACCGTCGCCGTGCGACGTATGAAGATGACCTATCATGCCACATACTGCACACCAGTCCGGTAGCCTCTCATATTTGACCCTGAAGATCTGCCTTTTTCCCTTCCTCACAATCGGCTAGCTGAGTTCTAGACGCTCCCTTGTTCTAATTTCATGAGCCACTGAAATTTCTCTTGATTGCAACCGTGACACACCAATCAAAATCGAGAACTCGGCACGTTCGGTTGCTTAAACCGACGGAGCATGTCACTGTCTAATTGATCAGACCTGACAGGGCGGGCCCGCGATGCCAAGCACGGCACGGGAAGAACAGCGGCTGCACCAGACCCGAGGCCAGCACGTGGGCGACGCACGCCGCGACGCACCGAGGCGGACGGAGGCCACAACGGCGGTCCGTCCCGGACCAAGAGAGAGACACACGGAACGCGACACGTACTGTACTACGTCAGCCGACCAAAGCTCGCCCGTGCTGCGGCCCTGAGACTCCGCGAGCGTGCAAGAGACGGTGGAGCACCCGAGGCAACCGGCGGCGTTTCCTCGCCCGGCCGCTCTCCGCCCCTCGGCGTCGCCGGTGCAAATGCCTGCGCCGCGACCGCAGCAGCGGGTTCTGCTCGTCGCGGCTGCCTGGAGCCTCGGCCTGCTCTGCCTCGCCGCCGCGGAAGGTGGAGGCGGCTCCTGCGAGCTCTCGGTCGAGCGCGGTGGCGCGCTCTATAACTTCAGCCTCGCGGCGCCGACGCCGGCCCACCGCCACGGCGTCCTCAGCGAGGATGGGTAACTTACTAACCAACCAACTGCGCGCTGCCCGTTGGCACCGCTTAATCGATAAATTGGCCACTCCTTCGCTTCGATCGGCATATGGATATGCTAGTTTGGGAGCGAGTCTGCGAGTCGCGTCATGAGATCAAACCAACCTGAACGAATTGATAGGAGATGCGTGCGATACGCTCAGGGTCCTCGTGCTTAGTGGACACGCGCTTCTCATGTTTGACGAAATGCTCGCGTGATGTTTTTTTTTTACTTGTTATCGCTGACTCAATTGTGAAGTGATGATTTCGTCTCTTGAAAAGTGGAGTACTGTAGTACTCCCTCCGTCCGGAAATACTTGTCATCAAAATGAACAAAAGGGGATGTATGTAGATGTATTTTAGTTCTAAATACATTCTTTTATATTCATTTTGATGACAAGTATTTTCGGACGGAGGGAGTATTACTACAGTGCTAGTTGCCACTTTCCCTGCCATCGGCGGGGATCGGGGTTCAGTTATTTTGTTGTTCTGGGGACCTCTTGGTTTTCACATGATGGACCGATTAGTACGTACTCCTATATACTCCCTCTGTTCCGAATTACTTGTCTTGAATTTGTCTAGATACGGATGTATCTAAACTTATTTTAGTGCTAGATACCTCCGTATCTAGACAAATCTAAGACAAGTAATTCGGAACGGAGGAAGTAGTAAGTACTCCATGTAACCTGCCTTGGTAGGGGAGCAAGATGTCTCAGGCTCTCAGCAAGTTGTTGCATTGGTGCTCTTCTTGGCTTACTTCTTGAATGTTGAAACCATGATTGAATATTCTTTACGCGATTGGCAAAGGACTTGGTATTTCGGAGCATGCAGCTTACAGTCGCCTGTATGTTTACCGTCACGTTTTCTGATCGCTATCTAAGTTCCACTCTGTCTCATAACGATGAGCATCTTGTGTTTCAGGTTTTACAAAGTGGCCATGAACGATTCAGTCATCTGGTTCCAGGTTTGTTTCGCTAGGACACTCCTTTTGTGTGATTGTTTTTGCATATGTAGTTGCTACATTTAAGATATCTACACTACAACCACAACTAGGTGTGGATAAAAACTGCAATGTGGATTGTTTGAAATCTCTGCGTATAATATAGCCTAGAGGTTTTCATGTACTGCCTCACCATTTTGTTATTGTTTGCAGCTCTGCGATCAGATGATATTCAACTTTGACCCACCTGTCTGTCTTCACTGTGAGGTACTCTACTGATTTATCATCCCATAATTTAATTGGAAACCTTCCTTTTATCGGTTAGCTTGTCTGTTTATGCTGGCTAGTGCATCTGTTTATTGTTCTTTCATCTGGTCTTATGTTGTGTTTACCTCAGCGGGTCGGCCTTTCTTGAGTATCTCACTTATATTTTACAAATACAAGAAATACTTCCTTAGAGTATAGCCTCCGTTTCCATTCTCATGGCAAATCACATGTACTAGTGCAGAAATGATCAGGTCATCCTGAAATTTGTAATCATCCTATCATAATGTTACTTTTTTGTTTTTCAAACTGGGTTTTCTTATTTTGTACTACAAAAAAAGAAACAGAAACAAGGTGTTAGATCAGTAGCAGTGGTAGGAGTAGCGATAATGGTTTCAATCGCAAGTACGTCACCAAAGAAAACCTACTGTGACAGTCTTGAGAACTAGTAACATCAGTGTGCTGATCTGTATACATAACAGAGACAACCAAAAACCATTATATTTGTATCAAGCAGAAGCCTAACTGCATCATAGTATATTTTGCTAATGTTGGATTTGTCTATACCTGCATCTCGATGACAGATTTCTTTTGCTTCGTTTTTCCGCCTTAACTATTTCTTTACCAAATTAGGACTGTGGTGGTCCATTGAGGTGTGGCACCCAATGCAGCGCACTTGCTTCAAATAACATTGGAGGTAGGTTTGTTCTCCTGATTGGATATATTTTCGCCAGCCTTTTCTTCTTGTACCTTACAAAGTGCATCAAGAATGGCACTGGTGGAGTGGTCGGTCAATTAAGTACTTTCCAGTATGCGTTTTCTGGTGATAATAAGCTTCCTTTAAAACTCCTTCAGTTGCAATCATTATTAAGTAGTTCCCACTTCCCACTGCATTTTCTAATGATGTTAATTATTTTTGTTTAAAATTAAATTGCAGCATTTTCTTTCTGGCTACTGGTATTAGTGACTTAGTGCTTGGAGTCTACATTTTTCTTTCTGCAGGGTATGATGTTTGTACAACCATTGGAAGGGCATCTGGATCCCATATATCTCTAATAGGTAAGAATCATGTATACATCGTACCCAAATATCCTTGCTATGTGAAGCTTACCTAGTTGTTTGTTTTTGCTGAGGGAAAAGCAGATGAAGGTAATCCACAAAAGGGTGTCATTGTCAAGATGTTTTCATCAAAGTGTTCTATTTCTGTTTTCATCTTTTGTGATTCAGCTGTAGCCCAAGTGAGTACATTTTTTAAGTTAAACTTTCTTTTGTTCTTTCCTCCGTCACTGTTGCATTCTTATTTTGTGCTGCTTTCTCCCCCCTTCTCTTTTGCAGCTACCGGATACATTCACCCAATCTGGAAGTTGTGATTACGTGAGTGCGCTATTTTTCCGTCGCAATACTTATGATATAGCATATTTCCTTTCTTTTTTCTTTTTGTTGGGAATACAGCAGATTTCTTGCAAGGCATTAATAAAATTTTACCTCACAGGTTACGGTACTTAGACACCCTTCTGGGTGTGCAAGATCAGTGTCTGATGCTGGAAATGGCTGGGGATGGTTAGGCACTTCGTTCATAACGTATGTTATGTTGAGTTGCATTTAGTTACTAAACTTCACATAGTTGCCAGACCATTGATCAACAATCCTCATGATCGCCCACTGCCAGCAAAGTTTCTCACTGCATATTGAGGTCTGGCTTGACTAATATTTAACTGCTTTGCAGAATTTTGTGCCTTCTTGGAGGATACATTCTGATTGGTGCAATCTATAGATATTATTTCCTCGGCATTCGTTCTGTAGAGGTAAAGCTAGTCTTGCACAGAGTCGTTGGTCTTAGTTTTATGCAATAAATACCACATCCATGTCATGCTAAACTCTGCTCAGTTGTTGTCATGTAGTTTAAACTCTGAACCTTTTGAGGGTACTTTCGGTCTCTCAGCTTCGTTGACAGGTTCAGCAAATTTTCTGTCCAAATTTGTGAAGCTCTGCTTGTCTTGGAGAAAGAAAATTGAGTCGGAACCACTCCCAGAGTCGAGATACCAAAATATATCTAAAATTGTACCTGAGCCAAATGTCGAGACTTGAGAGACCAAAATAATTTCAAATGGGTAATGCAAACTCAGGTTGGGAGACCAAAAGTTTAGGTCGTTTCTTTTAGGGAGTAGCTTAATTTCAGATATTCGAAATATACTTTGCAGTACTGAAAATATGGTTTCGTATGGTAATCTCAGTTTCAATCATTTTAGCTTTTGGTGGAGGAAAAAATACAGTACAATGTTCCTTGATATTTCAAATAACTAAAATTCGAAGAAACATATTCACAGAATCACGCTTCTTTCTATCACTGTCAAGAAACCACACAACTGTATACAGGGACGATGCAACTTTGTAATGGGCATTTCAAGTTATGATGCTGACGGGTGGTCACACCTGTCACTTCCATTGACATCCTTAGACGAAAAAATAAGTGTAGTTTTGTGAAACTACTTACAAGTGTAATTTCGAATGGTTTTTCCAGAAAAATGAAATTTTAAAAGCTAGTCCTGCTGTTAGGAGTAATACATTTCCCTTATTTTTCTGGATCTCTGAAGAATTACATAAGAAATAGTTACGACAGTAAAATAAACTAAGAAAGTTGATGTCATAAAAAGATGTATAAAGAGACTGCATCAAATCCATATCAAAAGATAACTGACTCATAGTGTGTCCTGTGAAATTACACCATAGCATCAAAAGATAGCTTTGCGATGATATGTGAACTGTTTCTCTGTGTGAACCATAAAAATTTACAGATTGTTGTCATGTATTGCAATTTATTAACCATTTTAATGCTCTTAAACCACATTTCTGTCTTACTTGATGTATTCTAGGCCATTCCGAACCTGGAATTTTGGATCAGTTTGCCATGGAGAATTAAGGTAAGGTCAAATAAATGTCTATTCTAATAGAACATGCTGATGTTGTGTGTGTGATTCTTTTGATCTGTACTGCTGTTTATCTCGAGACAAACCAGAATTAATGATACACAGTTTAGATCATTTCAAGGTGAGGATAATATGCAGTTACTGATGCATGGAAACAAGTTTCATTGCTAACAAATACTCCGTATCTGACATACGTCCGCATTATTTTAAATTGTTTAATTATCTGTCATTCCCAGTATAAGCCACGATCTTGTTCTCTGAAAGGGGAAATGGTGTTTGTACAGTTTACATAATCTCCCCCATTGAAAAGCTTCAGAGTTATTACTGTGATAGGATGTTTTTTTTAATGGTCACTGTGATAGGATTTTTTTTAATGGTCACTGTGATAGGATGCTAGCATCAAATGTAACGTTATGGTATGTTATCTGTCCAGAGCATGTTTGTTCGTCCAAGAAGAAACTCAAGAAGTCAGAGCAGAGATACTAGAGGTCCATACACCACTGTAAACCACTGAGAAGTAGAAAAATTCAATACCAGTATTGACAGTCATACAGTGGACAAGCATATGTGGATTGGGGTGAAAGCAAAACCTTTGATCTCTGCCCATATGCCAGGTACCATCAATGAATCATGTATCTTTGTACTTGCATATTAGTGGTGGAGTATCTGAATGAGCTACTAATGGAGATAAGACCCGGTGATCATAATTAAGCCTAGTAGGTCCTTACACTACCTGCAGCGCTCTCTTTTTCTCTTCCATTTTCGGGCAGGGGGGGTGGGGGACTTTCATATATGTACAATAGTTGATGCTCGGCTATTTATTCACATGGAAATATGGAATATTCAGAATTGGTTCAATTCCAAGTGATTATGACCATAATATGACTATACTGGCCTTCCTCTCATTCAGTTTTTGAAGCCCTTGAATTTAGGATTCTTTCTTCAAAATTGGTATTAACTTCAAATTGTTCTTCCTGCTATAAATTTAGCAGCGAATTCTGTAATTGGGAACTGAAATTTGGATGTGATTACTATAAAAGTTCTATATGTTACCATGCAAGTAATACCCAGATCAAATGTGATCAGCTATATATCCTGATTTTTTTCAACGCTGTACATCCTTATGAAACTGTGTGAAGTCGGCTAGCGTGTAACAACAGTTGTGATTGATGTTGTCTGATCACACAGGTCAAAGAATGAAGTTGATCCTATGATCTGCATCATACGATGGTCCTGTGTAAAGGAACTTGTAGAATTCTGATGCATCACAGTTAGTTTGTGAGTACTGTAGACAACATGATGCTTGTGCTCTGCTTATTTACTTCTATTATAATGTGGTGTGACGTTATTATGAGTAGAGGAACCTATTATCATAGGGAAGCATGGTAATTTTGCTTCCTTGCCATTCCATCAGGCCAGAAAGTGGTGCAGCTATTTTGTTTTCATGAGCCGGCTCAAGAGGGAATCATTTTACTGGCCGTGTTTCAGAGCTGGAGCTTTCATTTTCTTTTGTACAGATAAAGATGCTTGTTTATACTCTACTAGTGGGATCTTTATGCATTTGTCATTTTCAGAATATGAACCTGCCACAGGATAGTTTCTGAGCTGCAGTAGCGTAATCGTGCTACGTGCTGTTCCTGGGCTCTGGTGCAGATGACCAGTGGTTTGGCTACAATTTAACAGATTCCCCTTTTACGGATTCATGAAATTTCCATGGTCACTTGGCCTTCTCTTGTCTGTTCTGTGCTGCATTTGTCCTTGGCAAATCAAATTCTGCGGACTCGAGTCCTTTGTGGGTATTGGAGGCTTCATTTTCGAAAGGATGGATGTAATGCAATCTGCGATGTTGTTGATCTGAATTTATGTATTGCCACTGCTGCCACAAAGATATTGATATGTGTTGATGTTTGGATCATCAAACCTAGAAGCGTTCGATGACAAATAGTTAGTTTGTGCTGCCGAATATTCTGTTCATGATGCTGTAGACTGGACGAATTATGAGGATGGCAAAAGAGTCACGGACTCGAACTGGGAAGTACGAGTGTATGCTTCTTGTGTTCTGTAGGTATAGGAGCTGACATTTTCTTCTTCTCTCTGCCGTTTTCTTTTTCATCTGCTCTTGTTTGGGGAGAATGACTATTGCGTGAACTACCGACAACTGTATCTTCTCTTTCGACCCAGCAAATAACAGAGGTGGATCTGGGTTGTGTGTACGATCGTATCATAAAAATATATATGAAAAAGTTGCTACCCTGGCCACCGCGTCACTCTGATTTGTGTTTTCTATAAGATCAAACGATCCCGGAGCAACGGATTTTATATGGCCCCTGCATAATTTACTCCGCCCTTCTCAAGTCCGATCCATTAACAAAATTTGAGCCACCTGGCACATAGACAAGCTCATTTTGTGCTCTTTGACCTGCAGATCCTCATGCTGGACTTGTCTTCCTAGGCCCAAACTCTTTTCCTTCCAATAAAATCCGAACTTTTTAATCTGGAGCTCGGACAGTTACATCACAGATTCAGTATCCTGTTGACAGCCGGACAATTCAACCTCCACTAGTGAACATCGATCACCCAGGTCAAATCGGGGGTATAAACCATCACGTAACGTGTACAATTCCAATTAGATCAGAGATTGATCTCTAGAATATCCCCTTTTGGACATAAAAGGCAACTCTCCTTGCTCCTAGACCGCATAATTAACCAGGGAATTAAGGAAGTTCATTGACGACGCCACAAGAAAGAAAGGAGGCAAAAAAGACAGAATTTGCCTCTTGGAAACCTGAAAGGAAGAGAATTTACATTGCACGAGCAGAGAAAGAGAGAAACTTGGGGAAGAAACCGCGACAGGAGGCGAGAGAGGAGAGGAGAGGAGGCCGAAGAGGATGCCTGGAGATGGACTTGACCACCGGGGCTCCTCCCCCTCCCCTCCGCCTAAATGGCGACATCTCCTCCAAATCTCGCCTCCTCCCCTTCATTATTCCTCCACCCTCGCCCCCTCCCCCTCCCCCGCCCCGTTCCCGCTCAAAACCCTAACCCTAGCGGCGCCCCTCGCCATGGCCGCCGACTACCGCACCCCCGACAGGC